AAGTGGCCAGTGTCACGTGACTGGGTGGCTGAATCATGGGCGCTTGGTGATCATGTGGTAGACACAGTCATATCCGCAATGTATGTGGTGATATTATGCTGTTTGTCCAAGTATCCACTTTGTGAGACCAATATGAAGGTTGGCGTCCGAATAACCACTCAAATGAGGACTTTAATGGTGTAAAAAAGAAAGGTGCCACTTAATACTGTGACAATAATACAAATGATGACTTCACAGTCAATTTGGGTGATCGAGTTGCTCAACTTATCATTGAACGTATTATCACTCCTGTCGTTTCACTAGTTGATTACCTCAAACCCTCAGCCCGAGGTCACCGTGGATTTGGTTCAACAGGCGATAATTACTTCCAGAAACCGCGTAAAAAGCCAGATTCGGGATGAACTGTCTAGAAGGGGGGGTACTGTCACAGATTTTCACGTCTTCACCTCTGCACATGACCAAGACATCACTTGACATCAGCGCTAGGCTGTTCAGAAAGGAACGAACCGGTACGCGAAGTACTAACAGTCCTAGACGCCCCGAAGGTCCAGGTCTAGTCACGTGACATATCACGTGATATCCACACATGTGACAAGTAGCGCTGGTATTAGGTAAGCCTAACTTATACAGTAATATCATCCCACCTAGAAGCCACGGTCGGACTCCGGAAGAATCCAACGAAGGGAATACACGACACCGGAGATATGTCCTTAAGGGGATATTAGTTCACATGCACGAGGTAGATAGATACCACGCCACCGGAGATGTAGCCATTACAGGCAATACCATTCCCATGGTCTTACTAAGTAGTTCAGAGATTCGGCATACATGACACATGTAGTCTGACAGGTAGTGGTAACCAATCAGACAATGTCCATTAGCTAGCGGTTCTGGGGTATCAGGGTACCAAGGGTCCCTCCGCTCATGTATATAAGTCAGAGCTCTGAGACGCATAAGTCCCCCAGACTTATTCTCATCTCTGCTACGTCTATTCATATAGTGTCACCAGCGACCACTTGCAAGTCGCTGCTTTACCTTGATCATCTTTGTGTCCATCCTGACTTCGACAACAGTCAGTAAGTGTTTGATCCTAAGGTCATAGGCTTAGTCAGCGCTCTGCGTCCTAAGTTTGTGATATAATTGATCTTACCAAGACCAAGGGCGGGAATGTGTTCCATTGGACTAGCAAAGAACAAGCCGCTTTTGACTATCTCAAAAACGAGTTCAGCAAGGCACCGATACTGGTTATGCCAGATAAAGACAAGCCTTTTGTCATCGAAACTGATGCATCAGACTTCGCTACAGGAGCAGTCCTTATGCAGAAGGACGATAATGGTGACCTCCATGCCTGCGCATATTATTCCAAGTTGCTCTCTGATCTGGAACGAAATTATCAAATCTATGATAAGGAGCTACTAGGAATCATCTGCGCAATCAAGGAATGGAGACACTATCTCAACGGAACAAAGGAGCCATTCCTCATATGCACAGATCACAAGAATCTGATGTACTTCAGGCAACCGCAGGACTTGAACCCAAGACAGCAAAGGTGGCAACTCTTCTTGTCTATGTTCAATTACAAGATTGTCCATATGCCGGGACGACAAATGGTGCAAGCGGACACGCTTTCACGATTGTCTGAATTAGACAATCGACAGGATAACAAGTCACCTGCAATCCTGCTACCCGACGATCTTTTTATTGGTGCTATCGATACAGATATGGCGGAACAAATCCGACAAGCACTAACAAAAGACCCATCGGTACTTGCGTACAAGGACAGCCTAATGGAGGAACTCCCAGTTCCACGAGGAATGACACAGGACGACATCAAGGATGCTGACAATGGGTTAATCACCATCCATGGATGTGTATATGTCCCAAACAGTACAGCCTTAAAGAAGGAAATTGTTCGGCGATACCATGAGGCCACTCCTCATGGTCATCCAGGAATCTGGGTTACGCACCAACTAGTGCGCAAAGATTTTTGGTGGCCAGGAATGTATCGCTTCATCCAAAGCTACATCAGCAGATGCGCCACCTGTCAGCAATCCAAAGCTGTTCAAAACAAGGTCAAAGTTCCACTACAGCTCATCGGCCCTTCATCCAATGCCCTACCTTTCAAGCAAGTTAGCGTGGATTTTATTACAGACCTACCAAAAAGTGAAGGCTTCGATTCAATAATGGTCATGGTAGACCATGGGCTTAGTAAGGGGGTAATTCTATGTCCCTGCAAGAAGACGATCACTGCTTCGAAAACTGCTGAGCTATTCAGATGGCAAGTTTGGAAACGCTTTGGGCTACCCGACAAGATCATCTCTGACTGTGGAACACAATTCACATCCAAAGTCTTCCAAGCACTGTGCACTGCCCTCAAAATCAAGTCAGCTATGAGCACAGCCTATCATCCGCAGACGGATGGCGAAACGGAGCGAATGAATCAAGAATTGGAAACGTATCTTCGAATGTATTGTGCAGAGCAACCGCATCGATGGAATCAATTCCTATCCGAATCAGAGTTCACGCACAATCTCCACACTCATTCAGTGACAAAGAAGTCACCATTCGAAATATGGTATGGCTACGAGCCCCGAGGAATGCCAGAACTGTTTCCTCAGGACGAAGTCCCCGACGTGGATGCAAGACTCAAGCTTCTCAGCATGGTCCACAAGGAGGCCACAGAAGGAATCATCAAGGCAAAAGCCCGTGTATCCACCAGGATCAAAGGAGGATCTCCGACGTTCAAGAAAGGAGACAAGGTTTGGCTGGAAGCCACCAATTTGAAAAGACCTTACAAATCAAACAAGCTAGCGCCGAAGCGAGAAGGGCCATTCATGATCAAGGAGGTTCTGGGGCCACTCTCGTTCAAGTTAGACCTTCCGATGACATGGAAGATCCATCTGGTGTTCCATGCTGCATTGCTCATGCCATATTGGCAGACCAATACACATGGGGAAAGTTATTCAGCACCGCCTCCAGATCTTATCGAAGGAGAGGAAGAATTTGAAATCAAGTCTATAATTGGACACCAACTACGGTGCAGCAAGAATGAATATCTGGTAAAATGGGCTGGATATCCACTCAGCGAAAGGTCGTGGGTAAAAGAGACGGAAATGGGCAATGCAGGAGAGCTGTTGAACGAGTATAAAAGGGAGCACGACTTGGCCTGAACCCTCAGTCCATGCCCTCATGCCTGTGCAACATCCCGAGTTTCTCGAATCTGCTGTCACCACTTTTACCCATCTTATCAAAGTTCTCGAAGACGTCGAATCCCACTCCTCCCACGACCATCGCTACCAGGTCTTCTAACAGCTCGGAGTCTATCTCGCTATCAGAGGGACAGGATTCGCCATCGAGGATCTTGTCGACTTCGACCATACCAACGTCGAGTTCAACACGACCCATCCAAACCATGATGGACCATCTCATCCGGAGAGCGGATGACGTCCACGAAGTCCACCTCCTGAACGACTTCAGGTCAACTCAATGACAGCCATATCTAACCCCTCACCCCAGCGGGCTAATCAGAATTCCTTATCCGTTTCCATTCCAAACGGACAAGCCGAAGGTAATGCTAGAGGACGACATCGATATCGACCTAGACGGAACATGGGGAACGTTCATGAGAATGAATTACCCAATGTACCTAACGGAGGAACTCCACCTGCCCCGGCTAGAGCCAGATCGATGCCGGACTATCCTAACAGCCGTTTACGCCGGCCTTCCAGTGGGAATCCTCCCACCGTCGTACGCTCTAGATCATCTGCTACACTTTGATATCTTACCGGCAGCACTCTCATTCACTCTGGATATGTTCAGTGTCATGCATGGTACCGTATCAAGAACAATGACAATACCAGCGGAAGAACATACGGGAATGGCGAACATTCACATCACGGACTGGTATGAAGAAGAGGAACGGCTGCTCGAAGGTATAAGTAGCGGCCCTCCTTTCCCTCTACTAGACCATCGCCTCCTCCTACTCGAGTGGGAACTCTACGAGGAAATCTACCCTTGGGACAAAGAGAACCGCCCCGCTCTACCACCTCCACCCATGTCACTCAACATCCGCATCACCACCACCGTTACTCGCAGCGCATCGGAGCCAGGACTACTTCTCGACAGTGATGGGGATGAAATCCCGCTGCTAGGCAACCTTAGTGATGAAGCACTGGCTGAATCATGGAGGAGTGCACGATGGGGAGATGATGAAGATGCAACAGGTCGCTGGACGACGGGAGGATCTTGGACAACGGGGAGAGCTTGGGGTGACGATGATGAACAGGCAAGGAATGCCGACGATGAACAACCCAGCTACCCCCACCACACTGGTGCCACCTACCCCTACAATAGTGCACCCGAGGACGGATCGCAACCTGTGCTGGCTGACACCATCAAGGAGCAGATCAGGTACGCTCGAACAGTCAAATCTTTGAGCAATCTAGCAGCAGGCCAGGTATCGCTTATCGCCCCAGATGTAGCATCATCTTATGATGTCTTCATCGCCACGCCACTAACATTCCTCATGGAATGCGATGGTCATCGTCTCTATGTCCAGCGTACAGGCATGGGCAACTTCACCACCTTCCACACCTTCGTCTTCACTTGGGACAACCAGAAGGTTGCCTGGCACCTCTACTCGGAAGACTCGCCTCATCGCGTCTTCAGTCAATGGGTTGCTCTGCTCTATCTGCCACCCATCCCAGGCATGCACGACTGGCATCCAACACCCAACCAGATGCGCATCATCAGTGTTCACTTCACGGGCAAGGAAGAAGGTGTTGAGCAATACGAGGTCGAACTCTTCAGGACGTTCTCCGATCAAGTCCACTACGGAGATGCTAAGACACCTCGTGAGTTCACGCCGGTCATCTTCCAACCCTCGTTGCCATGATCGAGCAGCCTGGATGGCTTACCGATGGTGTCGAAGCACTGAAGGCAGTTCTCTATGAAGACAGATCCATCTCGCACTGGGCGCCCACCGAGTTCCATCCTCAACCCCAAGAGGATCTCGACGAGGGATGGAAGGTCGTACCCCATACCACCATCCCAGTCTACAACTATGTAGGTGTCCGCGGTGGATGATGAGGGGTTAGTTTGATGAGTGGTCATCAAGGGTCTTGCCAGTTGGAGGGGGGAGCTTGTGTTACGGTTTCAGCGCTTCATGGTCACGTGACAGTTTACGTTGCACATGACACTTACTATTTATGGTTCATAGGTCTTGTGGACATATTCTAGGGTTAGCAGTTTTCGTTTTTATGATTTACTCACTCAGGCCATGCAAACAAGACCTCAAAATCCCAAGAAAAGTCCGCCGGTGCGGTTCACGTTTTCGCCGTGTGAACTGGCACAGGGTTCACAGCCATGCTGTGACTTGGCGTGTTCTCCCCCAAGCACAGGGCATTGCCTCATCTGGTAGCGACACGGTCACATGCCCCGCAGGGCGCGTCTGTCGCCTCCTGTCTCTCGATGTCGTCGGCTACCTCTACCTCCTCCCCTGCTGCTTCGTTCGTTTTATCGCTAGCTTAATCTCGTATAATGACTCTATCGGACTCTGTTGGTGACCACAGTGCTGTAATAGACCCAGTCTTGTTGGCCATGAAAGCACCGGAGATACCGAGCGAGATTGGGCCTGTCAGAACCACTGCATTCCCACCGCGAGCCGGTACGTCCCTGTGATCATGGCCATGCATTGAGTGGACCCTATCAGGCTCTCCCAGAAGACTCTCAGTCCCAGGGCACTGTGCAGGAACAGCCAGCCAGATCAAGTCTGCTGTGAGTACTCCACCTGGGGCCCCCTCTCGACTGACTGAGGCTGACGAGGGCGTATGCTCCGCAGTTGGAAGCTGAAGGTCCCGCAGCTCAAAGACGAGCTATGCAGGAGGTCTCTGCCACTTACAGGCATGAAGGCAATGCTCGTTCTATGACTCAACGAGGACAATCGTCGGTGGCGCACGAAGTCAGCTCGGGATGCCCCTGAATCGACAGCGCACAGTAAACTGTAAGTCTTTCATGCATCTGATCATGCCACGCACTCACCTGTTCGAGCCCACAGCCAGAGCGCTGTCCCCTCAAGCAAGGAAACACCAAAAATTGACCCCGAACGCTTGACGCGCAACACTAGCGACCTTTGCGACTCGTTTGGCCGGGGGCTCCATGGCGACGACAATTCGGAGGACGAAGATGCCGATGAAGAGAATGGCGATGACCTACTGGACAGCGAGGACAATATGACGCCTGGTGCAGGTACTCACATGTGCATCGACCATGCCGGTAAGGTCACCACGATGGCCATCAGTTGACTCATCGCTCATGAGTCACTACTCACAGGACAATGCAACGGCTCGAAGGATGGCTCGAGAGCATGGGTGAGTCAATCTCGTTTGTGCAGTATTGAGTTCCTACCGCCATACTGATCCATTCTTGTGCTTGCAGGTTGACGCGTTCATCCTCAACACCTGACGCAAAAGCGGGCGTGTGACAGAGGGTAGTGTCCTTCGCCTATGGAAGGTATGTGTGCCGATAGTGTGCTATGACTAACGTGCACGATCTCATCCTTACAGCCTCGTAGCAATGGGCCAACCAGGCCCTTACCGAGGGCATCATATCCGACGCAATTATCGACTCCAACCATCTGATCGCATACTTGAAGTATGCTGCGACATGCAAACTTCTCACCAGTCAAGGCTGTGAGAGAGAAGGGAACCAGAGGCTCTCTGCGGTATGTCTTCGCATCCATATTTGTTGCCATTGGCCTGCTGACGACTCTCTCTCGACCTTCAGAGCTCATTAAAGAAAATTATGGTGATGCTCGGCCACGTGTGGAGGCGGCAGCTAGATGATGACCCTGCTCTCGATCAAATGCAGCCGGTGATGACATCCCATGCACTCGACTTCTACCGGGCGCTGATGGTGACGGCGCAACATGTGCACCTGGAGTATGTCTCTCGTTCGCTGTTTTAGGGATTCTACGAGCTGACCAGCTTGATCCGCACAGTGCCGAAGATTTCGACGTGATGTCCAACACGATCCTTGACTCACAGATCCTCCCACACCACTTCGAAGAGGTCAAGAAGTCCATTTTCATGGGACTGAATCAGCGTGAGTGCGGACATTCCGAGTCGATTACATCTGATCGATGGCTTCACCACCAGTGCCGTCCATCATCAAGGCACACTTCTCGTGGACGTGGCAATGCACGATGCTCAATCGTGGCGACGAGCTCATTAACCTGCTCATATGCTGCATCCAGCCTCACCAGATCTACATATCTGACTACACCACTGCCGATGGAAGGCGAAGCGGGCTCGGACGGTTTGTGTTTGGTGTCCTGTCACTGTACCATGAGACGAAGGTGGCCAAGCCAGGGGTACGTTTACAATACTGCAGCCATTCATCATCACGATGCAGACGCTAACAGCTTCACGTTGTGTTCGCAGTGTCAGGAACCCGACTACAACTTTGTTCTGCCTCATCGCGACCCCCTGCACTGCTCGATTGGTGCACTCGCCATCCTGCTGCACTACATCTTTGACCGAGAGAAGATCCTCGAGCAGGTTGGTGGTTGGAACTGGTCTCGTGCTTCGACGTGGCAGAAGGTACAATGTGTCCTTCTGTGCTTTGCGCTCAGTGGCCTGACATACAGCTTACCTGTCATTCCAGGTGCCACTTCTGTTTGGCCGGAAAGTGGGTGAACTGTGCAGTGCAGATGCGATGCAGAAGATGTACAAGATGTTCCTCCTGCCGACCAGCATTAAGTCGGCCAAGAAGATGCATCTGGCACGCCGTACTCTGCCTGGCATTATGGAAGATATGGGGTCAGTCATCACTCGAGCTGATCATGGATATGAGTTGACGGTCAATACATCATGCAGTGTGAACATGGACGAGATCGATGGGGTGGGCCACTGGACGGGCAACACACGTCGTGAAGTATATGCATCAAAGATCCCGAAGTCGGTGAGTGAATCGGACATCGCGTTGCTTGCCCACGGAGTCTATGGCTCACATAGACTGTATCTAGGCTGTGACCGCACTCGCCGGCTTCTATGTAGGAGAACAGTATGACGTGCCGTGGGTGACAGTAGACGTGCCACAAGACTTGCAGAGCCAAATTTTCCCCTTCGTGGAAGAAGCCCTCATAAGCATGGATGCCCACGAGAAGATCAACCATGGCACGGTGAACTTCCTGGAGCTTCTACAGCAGCTCCGGCCCTTCTTCTGGCGGGTGAGCAAGCACTACAGCAGCTCCAGAGTGCATCTCGTGAGTTAGCTGACCATTCTGACCATTGTTACAGGCCATGGGAGCAATCCACGAAGCATTCCCTGAGTCAGTGCTCTTCAAGCGGATGGAGGTTCTGCAGAGCGAGCAAGCCCGACATTTCCTCACAAGCTGGCCCGCCGCATGCCAAGTGAAGGATGCTGGGGCACAAGATGCGATGGACACTGCCGTCACCTTCTCGGAGAGTGCAATGCAGAGCGTGTTCATGTCGATCTCCATCAGTTCACGGCAGATCGAGTCTGCTCTTCGTGAGCATTCGCAGCAGCTCGGCATCATTGCGTGATGCACGGCCGTGTTCTCCCCCTCGAAGCTGGTATCACGGATGATCCTCACTCATGATGGGTCCCCATCTCCACCTGCACAGTCACGGTAACCCCATCTGTCATCTGTGCTTCACAGCCAATGCACTGCCACTGCGGACACTCCTGCTCACCTGCCTCTCACACGACACCTCTGCCGGCTTCGGACTCTCACATGCAGGATGCACTGGAGGCAGGTCTCAATGCCAATCATCGGGATGCTGCAACACCTCTGTCTGGTATGCTGCAACACCTCCATCTGGTACTACTGACCAAGGTGAGGATGTTGTCGTCTCGCATGCAGCACCATCGAGTGGACGACTTCAGAATGACCACCGGGATGGGCTGAGCAATGCGACGTGGATGGCCACCACTCCGCAGACTGTGAATGAACCGGCGATGCTCATGCCCTACAGCCTGGTGCACAACAGCATCTGCTACACCGTTCTCCCTCTGTCCCCTGAGCCATCTCCAGCTCATACTGCCCTCGACCCCATTCTGCCTGACGCATCCGCATTCCATGACCGTCATGCTGTGCCACCCTACACATACCCTGCCATCACCAGTGCAACCTGCTCCTGGATGGCCATTCTTTCCCGGATCTGGCAGCCAGATGTCGTTTGGAGCTGCTGGAAGCCGGCCACCTTGGGCAGCTACAGTTCTGTCGCTGCAATATGGGAAGCCTGGGCAGAAGGCGAGCGTGTTGCGGGCATCAGTCGCAAGCCACCTCTGCGTGAACTCGAGCAGCTGTGGGGTGCACAAAAGAACACAACATTGAGGAGGGGTTAGCAGCAAAGCTGGCGACCACACAATGATGCCATGGTGAGCCCCTTCAGGCTTTGAATGGTCGAGTTGTCCCCGGCTGACCAATCCTACTAGGCTCGTCAGCTGTGGGCCCACTTCATGTACTTCATCTCACGCATCGAGAAGTGGCTGAACGATGGCAAGACATCGGCTGAGGCCGTGCATGAGCTTGATGATGAACGAGGTACGCTCTCACTGTCCCAGTTCCGCAGGAGAACGCAGCCCAAGCGGCAACCCAGCAAGGCTGCGGGCTCTTCTACCTCACATGAGGGTGGTGGCGATCTCGACTGCAGCTCGGTGCCCCAGCAGTAGGGCAACCTAGTATATTTTTTAGAGCATATAATATTATTATAATATTATACATATTCGTGTTGTTCCGCGTACGCTCGTGGCCCATTTCGGCACATCCAGACGAGATGGGATTCCACCCACCCAATACCTCCTCTTCCATCCCTTCTCTTCTGCAATGCAGATGACCATGTCCCAAGTGTATGCAGTGGATTCGCCTTGAGGGACCTGCACGAACGCGAGCCTGGCCTTGACGGATGAGTCCTTGCAAATGACAAAGGAGGCTGGCCGCAGCAGTATCGGGGATGAGGTCCTCGACGAAGTGCTGTGCCACGTCGTATGGGTCGGTAGGCTCACCGAGGAGGCTGGGACACAGCGAGTAGCGAGAGGTTCCCTGCAGTAGATGGAATGCGGCAGCACTGGTATGAAACCGAGCGTCTTGCGACGGTGGACGACGTTGTTGCTGCTGGCAGTCAGATGCGCGAACCTGCTAGTCATTTCGAAGATGGTGAGCTGGTGCTCCAGCGGTATCACAGCCTCTCTAGGTGCTAGGTGACAGCTCTCTCTCCTCGTCCGTCTGCACTCGTCCTTCTCGTCGTCCGTCCGCACATACGGCGGCTCTGCAGGGGGAGCGTAGGAATGCGGCACACGCGGTCGATCCCGACCTCACCGAGCATCACGGGGACGGGTGCGTTGGTGAGGTCGGTGCGGAGAGAGGGGAGAGAGGTGAGGATGGCAGGGGAGAGGTGTTGGTGAGAGGTGTTGGTGGAGGGAGGAAGGGCAGGAGGGCAGGAGACATGCGCGAAAGGCGGCGGATTGTGCAGGTGTGGAGGGCGGGATGAACTGGTGGTGGTAGCGTGCATAGCCTGCGTCGCCTGCATGGGCACGCCATCAACGAGCTGTGGACTGGAGCGATCACAGCGCACAAGAGTCATTAGATAGAGTGGGACTCATGCAGAGAGCAGTGCTGGGTGCGAGATGGGGAAAGACGGACTGAAGCAGGGGATGACACGACCACGCCGGGGTAGCATGCGGCGAGGTCGCGCACGAGGGCTTGGTCGCTGCTGGCGCATTGTGGCCATTGCACGTAGATGCAGTGGGGGAGGGCGGGGACATCAGATCGGCGTCGAGGAGTCGCGCACAAGGGCTTGGTCGCTGGCGCGTTGTGGCCATTGCGCAGATGCAGTGGGGGAGGGCGGGGACATCCAGAGCGTGGCATCGAGGAGCGCGGAGGTGGCGTCGATCTCTCGGGTGGCAGTGCATGTCGATGAACGTGGTGCGGGTGCGAGGACACAAGCTCTGAAGGGGGGAGGGACGCAAGCTGTGGCCAGGGAGGGAGCCGAGCTGCGAGTCACGTGCGCGCAAAAAGCGCGATAGGCGCGCAAAGTCTGGTGCAGGCGCGCAAAGTATTTGGCGCCCCCGCCAAAAAGTGTGAACCAGAGTGTGAACCGGGGCCCCGAAAGCGTGATTGGCGCCCGAGTTTGCCGTGAAACGCGCGAGACGCGCGCCGAAAACTGTGAATCGACGGTTAGGCGCGCAAAGTCTTTGGGCGCTTAGGTGCGCGCGCGCGCGGGCACCTGCCTTATTTGGGCCGTGAACCGCGTGGCGTGGTTCACGTGGTTCACGACACTTTGTTTCGCACCGGCGGACTTTTCTTGGGATTTTGAGTTCTCGCGCGAACCTCGTTTTCCACTCGTCTGCAGCTGTGTTTCGACGACGACATTGCGAATCCGCCTTTTCCTATTCTTGCTCACCCTACTGCTGCTAGATGATCTCTGTACATTTGGTGGTTTCTGTAGACTCGTGTGCATGTGGTCTTCGTATCTGTGATACACCGTCATCCGTGGTCTTCGTTGGCACTAGAGACATCTTGATCTGACACTATCGTGGTTGTTCATACTCGTGCTGGCTCTGTTCATGCTGGCTCTGTTTGTGCGGCTATTACAGCAGTGCTTCACCATCGTTATTCGCCTGTTCGATGCGTTCTGAACTTCGAGGTTGTCTATTCCACATTCAGTGAGCCGGCGGACTCATACAAAGCGCAGCGCTGAGTTTCGTGATCTTCATCAATTACATGGCATTGTGAATTCACTGCACGGACGCGATCATTCCAATTGCTTAGGGCACTTCGCAGATATACCGGCCCCGGGTGATCTGGGCGTACGCCAATCGCATGATCGTGTTTCCCATATATTTTCTCATCGGCCTGACCAGTTGAGTGCCAGTCCGCTTGTCCCGCTGTTGATTGGCACGCAGTCTGCGGGTATGGATCGACGTACCAGTTGACGCACATGTACGTTGGGAACATATTTTCGTCAACGCGGTTGGCCGCTGACTCGCAAGCAATTGTGTGTTTACGCTTTGGTAAGCACCTTGCCATGCTTCGAGTGCGCGCTGTCGAACATGACTAGGATTGTGCGATGCAGCACCAGCATGTACAGCACAAGTACGTCAGCGTTCTGCTGCCCGTGTGTGCTGAGCGCTGATGCACAGTGCACTTCACAGCCATGACTCCATGGCACATCTAGCGGATATGCAAGGCCTAGAAGGCGCACGCAGGCGGGATTTTAACCTTGCGTAGTACCTTCTTGAAACTGAAAGGTCCTTTGTTGGCCACATATCCACAGGGACTTTCGCCATCGTCGTTGAAAGCGCCGCTCTGCATTCGTATGGAACCTGACCAATTGCTTTACCTGGTTGACCCATCTGCAGGGTCTGGACGATCTTTCCTCACGAAGAACAGACGAACCTCCAATTCGTCAGCAATTACGGCCTACAGCGCGCGCCGCGGCACGACTCGCTGTTCGAGTTTGCTGCACTGAGTTGCATGAGGCAAGCGGAAGAGCAGGCGTCCGTCGTACACCCTCGCGGTGAGCGTGCAGTCCGTCAGCCAGCACAGCGAATGGAAGAAGCTGCCCTGGATGCTCGATGCCAGCCGTACGGATCCTGCATCGTTGGCCACCTCGGCTGTCGTCCTGCTCGATTAATGATCGAATTGCTCGTCATGCAGCGTTCCATGCTGGAATGTAGTTATCGATCTACGGCTACGGGCATCTACTCTATACTAACTGCATATTATGTTGTTTCGTTATATTTGACTCGGGACGCCGGATTTAGATATGCTATATGTGGGAGTCTTTGGACAATGTAGTGAGTTCTTCGGAGCCTGGGATGTTGCAATTAGGCATGAACAGGCCTCCAGAGCTCCATGTGTAGAGCCTGTGACTCCGCAGCATTTGTCATACGCCGGCAACGCAAGAACCGCTGCACGCTGTCCTCAATTGTGGTTTTTCCGGTGGTTCCTTGTCGCCCGTCGCCTCAGTGGGCGTTCTGCCGGGAACTTTCCGCAACTTCTCAGACCTGATGCTTGAGCGCCGCAACATCAGTATTCTGATCATCTATCTTCGACGGTGATGCTTTTAAATTCAATGGCTGCTCCTCATTTATAGTGCCGCAACATTGCTGAAACTGACATCGTGAACGGTCGTCACGATGTTGACTCCCTTCATATTGGTGCTCGTGGCTGCCTCAGTAGCGGCCCTTGCTCTTCGCCGTGTCCTGACCTGCTCTTTGCTCCAGAGGCTGCCACTTCCTCCGGGTGAGATGCGCCTTAAATGTCCTGCCCGCTGAAGGGCTCACATCAGCTGTCACGGCGACGCAGGGCCAAAGCCTCTGCCATTTGTCGGAAACTTGTTCCAGATACCATCGGAGGGGAGAATTAAGCAATTCACGCAATGGAGACAGACATATGGTTCGCTGGTTGCCACGGCGCTGTGTATGAAGCGACTAATGTGACCATCTCAGGGGATGTTGTGTATTTCCATGCCTGCGGAAGAGAATTCGTCGTTCTCAATTCGGCCTCCGCGGCGATAGACTTGCTAGACAAACGGGGCACACTCTATAGTGACCGGCCATACTCAACCATGGCGTCTATCTTAGTCGGCCGCTGGAAGTCACTCCTACAATTGCGCTACGGCGAGCGCTTCCGCATCAGTCGGAAACACATGCGCAACGCGCTGAATGCGCGAACGATCGCCGAATCGTTGGGCTTCCAGGAAGACGAGTCTGTGAGACTGTTGCAAGCCTTGCTGGTCACACCCGAACAGTTTCCAGCGCACATTCGAAGGTATGTACAACAGGTTTCAGTGCGCCGTTTCACTGAATAGTCTGTGCAGAAACGTTGGTGCAGTCAGCCTCAATCTGACATACGGGTATCGGCTGTATGAGGGCGATGGATACCTGCTGACACTCGCAGAGGAGTTTTCCCGGACTACCGGCGATGCGCTGGCATCAGGGAGGTGGCTCGTGGATATTTTTCCCTGGCGTGCGTCGTATCAGCTAATATTCATGCTTTTATCTGATTCGCTCTTTTACAGTGAGATACGTCCCGTCATGGATGCCTGGGGCGCATTTCAAGCGATGGGCGCAGTGGGCCCATCGCCGCTGCGAGGAGCTCGTCGACGCGCCGTATGACTACGTCAAGACAAGAATCGTATAGATGCCTATCATATCTTTCATCGAGGTTAGAGTTGACTGAATTAACAGGCAGAAGGCAATGCTACCTCGTGTTTCACCTCTCGTGCGTTGGAAGCGCTTCGGAAGGAGACACGGAAGACTCCGACGCTCGAAGACGAAGACATCATCAAGAACGTTGCAACAAGTTTGTACACCGGTATGGGACAGTGTAGTCGCTGTTGAACTTATTATTCACGAACCTTCTGCATAGCTGGCACTGATACGGTCAGCAATCCTGGATCTGCTTGTAAGATGGCACATATCGCCGTTTGCCAGACGGTAGCGATGTTATCTTCGTTCATTCTCATGATGGTCTGCCACCCGGACATTCAGAGAAAGGCCCAAGCCGAGATCGATAAAGTCACCGGTGGCACGCGACTTCCCACTCACGCGGACCAGGACAAGCTGCCCTACATGGAATGTGTTATCAAAGAGCTTCACCGTTACAACCCAGTTGCTCCCTTCGTCCCTCATAGCGTGATGCAGGACGACGAATACCGCGGATTCAGGATCCCTAAAGGCGCGTGGGTGGGAGCAAATACATGGTGTGATTCCTCGTGGCTGTCTCAGCAGTACTATGCTAGATTGTAACGAACGACGGTAGGGCTATACTGCGCGACCCTGAGATTTATTCAGAGCCCGAGCGGTTCAATCCCGATCGTTTGATGAATGATGAGAAGCACACACCTCAGCGGGATCCGCGAGAGTTCTCGTTCGGACTCGGCAGGCAGTGGGTTTTGTCTTGCATTGATTGTTATCTGCTTCGTGTTAATGCATTATCCTCAGTCGTTGCCCTGGCGTGATGCTAGCAGCATCCACGTTGTTTATCGTCGTCTCACGGACTCTTGCCGTCTTTGATATTCTCAAACCGGTCGATGAGCTTGGACAAGAGTACATGCCTTCCATGGAATTCACATCGGACAACATAGTGTACGTTGCATTACCACATTGCTCGGCCTGCTAAGTTCCTTGTTGCATCCAGATACCCCAAACCATTCAAATGCAGAATTCTCCCACGCTCTACCGAGGCTATTGCTATTATCCAGCACCACAGCTAATCTGGTGAGATACATGTCATGTCTGCCGTGACTAGAGGGCTCACCAAACTGCATTCACAGTCTTGGATACGCCAGCTATATCGAATATAGCTGTTGTTTCGAAAGCTATCGCGTCTACTTCAATTGCAACGGCAGAAACCAGGCTAGCTGAGGCTCGCCGGAAAATGCGATGATTCAACAATATCAAAGTGGTGTTAAGGCGATTGCAGAGTAGGAATGTCCAGAGTTCCGGCGCGTTAGCGAACGTTCGACGCATGATTTAATACCTACTAGTACCTAGCAGAATCATCCTTGAATTCAGAACCATCCCTCAAAGTCAACCTATGCTCTTGCGATGGCGTGCGATTTGTTTATGACCAGTCACCATGATTATCCAGTCGATATAGTTCCGTTCTGAGACATTCATACATATATACATGTGATCCGCAAGTGGTGAGTAGTGTATCCCTGACTCTGAATCCCTATTCTACACGCAGGACTTGCTCATCTCGGTGAATGTATCTGCAACATACCTCTCCCCAGTGGGTTCCTGTTCCACGGCCTGATTGATGTTGATCGCCACTGGTCGCATCACGTAACTCTGCTGATTGTTATGATTCATCCTCTGTCCGAAGCGGACACTGCTGATAGAGGTGGATGATTGGGCGCTTTGCGACCAACCCAGTCCGACTCTGACGTTAATGAGTGTGAAGGATATCCCAGCTATGAATGGAAGCGTCTCGTTGCTGAGGACCTGGAGGTCGGTCTTCGCCTCAAACGTGATTAGGAAGAAGAGGCTCCATATCCTAGTGTGCGTCGACTGAAGTTAATTTGTCTGCGAGTCAAAATGCTATTAGACCCACGAGTACAGAGCGGCACTCTCAATGATAGTTGCCAGCACGGACTATTATGCAGCAGCATCAGAAACGTTGTGAATTTAATGCGTAGACCGACTGACCATTGTTCGTGCACCTATGCTAGGTCGTAGGGATGAGCTCATGCTCCAAATACGCCAGGCAATCATAACTGTCAATATATCAGTGCAGCATAATCGAACACCATAAATGGGAAACATACCGGTACAATATACATTCGTACTGAAACCGTATGTGTGTTATTGGACAAGTGTGTGATGTTGGGGAGGCTCACGCACCAAAGCGATGTCGCGACGTTGGTCGTTAACCAATCACCCAGAGTACCGGCCCAGATACTCTCTCCGAATGACATTTGCGTAAGCTGATAGATTGTGCCGATCCCAGCCACTGTAATAATCCCCTCATATACCTCTTCATTTGCGAAATGATGCTTGAACTTGTGCCCACCAAATAAGCCCAGCCAAGTGCATATTGGAAAAATCACCACTCGAATATTGTATGCCCATACGATCCAAAGACGATAAAGCTTAAGAATTTATTGAGAAACACACGAATATGCGCTCACACTAGAATTTATTTGTTTACACTTACAAACATTGCATCGGTCAAAACAATCACCACAATCGTGGCAGCACTTTGCACGATCTCCGTCGGACGTGAAAGATCTCCATAGTATTCCAACGGACCGTTGGAAAAGTAGATGAAAGCCTCAAAGACGCGTACGACTTCCACAATCCAATGCTACCCGCAATGACCTACGTCAACTTGAATGCGAGATCCATGCGAAAAAAATGCTCACCAAGGTGTTAGCGATGAAAACTAAGACGACGAAGACCATAATAGTTGCATGGGATATCCGTGACATAGAATTTCGCTTCCCATACATTTGCTGGCGTTGCCACAATAGAAGCAAGGATATAATAGACAAGACGAAGAATACGCCATATAGAAATGTTTCTATACAGGTAGTTGCAAGTTCCGCAGAAGGAATGTTCACAGAACCCATGGCCCTAGGATGTCAGCTGGGCAACTGACGCAGGTGTCAGTGAAGCCGTACAGCGCTTGAAGGACCGAAGTTGAAGTCAGTTTATATAGTCGATGGACCTGGAACTGAAGTGCCACATACTGCAAGCTAACAACGTGCAAGTTCCCCAAAGATCCGGTAGCTAGGTCGGACTGGCAGTGCCGACTGAAAGAGCATACGGAAGGAATAATGTGAAGCAGATCGCATCGAGACGCCACACAGAAAGAGCATCACAACATGTGATGGATCTAGGGAGACTATCAGTTACGACTGATGGATTGGTGATGCATCATGGTGAACGAGGCGAGCCACTCACCTTGCTCTCTCAACCAGGCATCAGATGAATATGAAGAGACGCCAATATGACTCATAGTGAAAATATGTCCAGTGTCAGGTTGTCATGTAACATTCAGGGTCGGAACTCCGAGTCGCTCCTGAATAGAGGAAAATAATTGGATAGAGAATGGGAAAATTTGCACGAACCCAGAGCAAGGAACGAGCGCTGGGTCGAGCGCTCGCTTACCGCTTACTAAGCAAATGGACGAGGAGAGCTTTCCCCGCTAGAGTATCGCTGCACGCTCGCCCCACCATTTTGGAACCCCTTCAGTGCTTAATGATAGTATAGTTGTGCCATCCTCCGTTAGGCCGCTACGCCACCACTTCACGCTCAAGAGATTCGGCCTCAGAACCCCCGGATCGTTGGCCGGCGAATTGGCTCGGTTCATGATCAGCCAATTGTCGAAGTGCTTCCAGCGCACGCTAACGGAGCTAGTACTATAGTACTGATAGAACCGAGCCTCTGGCATGTTCTCATTTTCTGTTACTTCATCTCCCATCATTAACTGATCCTTGACTGCGGGTGCAATACCACCCCATCTCAGAATGGAACGAAGAGTTCATCATCAACTTGTCCATCATGATGGTGATGTGGAGCTGACTGACCATGTGCTGCGGATTTCTCCCCTATTTTTAGTTGTGTTTTCTGCCAACCAACGACGGCAATCCATTATCGAACACATCATCCACATGCTCGAAGGTGCGAAGCAAGGATACCCTGAGCCCATAGTACGATCAAATCCGGTCTCCAGGGCTCAGTGTCAGACGGTTTTAAACCCAGAACTGTGCATACTTCAATCCGTCCATCTTCGTCCCTTCCCTGCATCCTAAGCTTGGACCTTTGGGAATCTGCGTAGTGCACCATGGAGCTGAACAACGAGTATGGCACACCAGAGGATTTCCGCAAAGCTGTAGTGGAGTTACGAAATGCCCTTCCTGCTCAGAATACAGTATCCACCGACTCCGCTGTGTTGAAAACTCACGGAGACTCCAGGTTCGATTACCACCCTGGTGCATGTTCTCCGCAATTGAAAATGTATGTGGTACTGATGGCAGAGCGCAGAATCTCCACCTACTGTTGTGGCATTCCCCAACTCGACAGAGGATGTGGTTGCCATTGTTAAGATCGCATTGAAGTATAAGATGCCAATTATCCCATACTCTGGCGCTACCAGCTTGGAGGGAAATTTTAGAGCTGTTAGTATGAGATCAATAGCTCAGCACAGAAACATTTTTGAAGAAATGTGCATTAACAGCCACCTATCGGGGGTATCTGCGTTGACCTATCTCGCATGAACAAAATCCTAGAGATACACGGTGAGAGTACACAATTTCTACTACGAGCGCCTCTCTTTAATGCTAAAATTCATATTCACAGAGGCGGATTCGGACGTGGTCTGCCAGCCGGGGGTGCAGTGGACGCATCTCAATGATGCTCTGAAGGAGAAAGGTGCGCGTTTATCGCTCCTCGGGGTTCATAAATTGACGTTTACCAACCTACATACACTGAGTCAGGCATACGATTGTTCTTCCCGGTCATTCCATTTCTCTCGATCTTACTGGAGTATGCTCAATACTGACTCAGTAACGAGATAGCTTGACCCAGGATATGGCGCGACCATTGGCGGTATGATCAGTACGGGTTGCTCTGGGAGTACGCGCATATCTCTCATTGTCATCATGCTTGCATAGCTTATATTCCCCCAAGCAAACGCGGTCTGCTACGGAACTGCCAAGGGAGAGTGGATTCTGAACATTGTGCGGATTTTATTATGGTATTGTCTCTACTCCATTAACTCAATAAGCGTCATAGACTGTCGTTCTCCCCAACGGTCAAGTCATGAAGACCCGGCAGCGGTCACGCAAATCTTCTGCCGGGTTCGATAGTACCAAACTATTCATAGGAGCTGAAGGAACGCTGGGAATCATCACTGAAGGTCCGTCCGTGACATGAGCGCTGCGGTACGCTGCTAAAATAGAATCGTTCAACACAGCTACACTCCGTCTTGCTCCAGTTCTTGACACCAATGTTGCCGTTGTTTCGTTCCCCGACGCTCGGAGCGCCAGTAATGCGGTAATTGAGGTAATGAACAGAGGCGTTGGAGCTCGTGAGTTGTCATGCTACTTAAGCGTTGCTTACGATTCAAGCTACGCGATACAGAATGCATCGAGCTCGTCGATGACGTCTTCATGCATGCTGTAAATGCAAGTGGGCTATATGAGCAGAAATGGCCAGAAACCGATTCCCTATTCATCAAATTTCAAGGATCCACTGCTCGTGCAATCCAAGAAGGCAGCGATATTGCTCGGGAAGTCATGACGAAACACGGAGCAATTGCGTTCGAGCTGGCGAAGAATGAGCAAGAAGCGACAGATCTGTGGAACATTCGTAAGAACGCCCTTCATGCAGGCCTTAAGCTGGTTCCCGGCGCTCGTGGGTGGAGCACGGACGTCTGGTGAGGTTCTAGCCAACACGAGCATTTCGATGGCTAAACTGCTCCGCAGTGTCCCGGTATCTCGCCTGCCGGAGATAATTACAGAGACGAAGAAGGATATCGCAAAGACGACCATCACGTCGGTCGTGATAGGCCACGCAGGAGATGGTATGCATCCACAATTGCCATGCTGAGCTCGCACAATGACCTCGTACCTGCTAGGAAACTTCCACACCCTCTTGCTGTTTCGCGATGATGCAGAACTCGAAGTTGCTCGCCAATTGGCAGACAGAATGGCAGAACGCGCGATAGCGCTTGAAGGGACATGTGCGTCGACTTGATTTCACATCCGTAGACTTAACACTCATATTACTGGATGTAGGCACCGGAGAACATGGGGTGGGCATCGGCAAGCGAAAGTATTTGAAGCAGGAATTGGGAGAGGGCACAATCGACTTCATGAAGACCATCAAACGGGCAATCGACCCCTTGAACCTGTTCAATCCCGGCAAGGCGAGTATTCAAGTCATAATGCTTTTCGACTGACTCACTGGTATACTCTGTTTCAAAGCTCTACCCGGACTCTAACGACGATTTCAACTATACAGTTGGGGTCGATGGGTCGATCCTCGGTTGTTGAATGCAGTAGAATTGTCCGTTTCTCCTTGTTCTCGTATAACCTGTAAGTGTACCTTGAAGCTTTGCACTCTCTGTTTTGATCTCGCAAAGCGTATCTCGCGAGTTGTATGTCGTAGCTGTCTGACAAATAATAGCCTCGCACGTTGCCACTGAAATATGATTCTCAGCGCATCCTGCTAGCCGCGCGTACTGGCAGAAGTTCTTGTTCATCCTAGCAATCATTTCTATCCACGTCGATGAAAAGGCATACATCCTCGATGGTTACCATTCTAGAAGGGAACGGACAATGCTTTCGCACAGACAAAGCACTATACTGGGTATTCGGACCCAAAACTTTACATGACAACCTGACGTATGTCAAATGTTCAATGTGATTGGGCCAGACATTTTTTCAGTGTTCTTATCGGCATGTCTTCGTATTCATCTGATGCCTGGTTGAGAGAGCAAGGTGATGACTGGCCTTGTCCGCCGTGATGCATCATGTATCCACCAATCATAGCCACTGGAAGTGACCTATTGCGTTCCATGTGACTCTATTCTTCTGTCTTAGGCCTCAACTCAGACCGACGCACTGCCCTGACCATGAGCGGCTTCTGGAGTATCGTCGTACGCATGGTGAGGATGCCATCGCGGTATGCCTGTACGTCGAATCCCGTAGCAAGCTCCATGTCATAGGTCAAGACGAGTCTAGCGAGTACGAGCCTCATTTCCTGGTATGCAAACGCTTTCCCGATGCAAGCGTGCGGTCCTGCACGGACAGTCAGATTGAGCTTGCATTTTTAAATGCATCAAGGGATTGATATACCGGATGAGAAGGAGAATAAAGCCGTCTTCTCCGTCTTCGAACCAGGCCCGAGGCCCTCATGCAGCCATCGTTCGGGACGGAAGTCCTAAATCACCACACATCTCAGCATCATCGGCATATCTGAAAATCTCGCGTGTTGGCTCACCAACGGGTCGGGCCAATAATTCTCTGGGCTCATTTGTTGTGAATAAGCAGCAATCGCAACGATTGTTCCCTCCGGTATGTGCTTCCCTTCAAGTACGAGACCTCCGGCAGGCACGATACGCGGCACGAAGAAGGATGACCCGAGGCGGAGTGCCTCAGTGATTACTGCATTCAGGAACGTGAGACTTGCCAGCGTCCCATGATCAAGGTGGTCTATCTGGTTGGCGAAAGCGTTGTCGAGCTCCGCACGCAGCATGGTGAAGTATTCCGGGCACGACAACATAAAGTAGAAAACGTGGGCCAATGTGGTCGACGTATTGTCAGAGCCTGTGATGAAACTCAAAATCCGCTGCGATTATGACACAAGTAGAAGCATGGTGCTCACCTCCTTGCATGGCTATAATAGCCTCGACCTTGAGGTCCTCGTGTGGGATCTTATCTCCAGTCACAGGATCCCCCGCTGACTGTGTCATTTGTATGATCAGCACGAGCATATGGCGACAGAAATCCATCGAGAACAAACCAAGTATGAGCTGAGATCGCGTATTGTCACATTGTCATCGTCTTCGATTCGCCTCTGCATGAAATGCGCAGCCACATCCCGCAGACGCGTCAGGGATCGGCCCACAGGGAGGTGCCAGATGATGTCCATGAGCCAGGGGGACTGTCCAATGCTACTACATTGTAAGTCACTGATACATACGACAGACGAGGGTGATATTGCACCTGTCCACGTAGCTCACCGCTAACCTGCCGCCATGAACGAGATGTTCCGGATCGCCGCGCCTCATGAGCTCCTACATGTGTATATCGTTTCAACTATCTCTGAAGTTGCGTGAATGCTGTGCTGTGACTGACTAGATCATTAGATCCACCGAAAACTATTTCACCCTATTAAGCGGTCAGGCCAGACCCTACGGAAGTCCAGCTTGCACGTACCATCACGTCATATGCCCAATGGCACAAACACTCTGCAAGGTCGAACGTCTTCTCCTTGCTCCTGGCCTGCCTCGTCTCAATACACTCCAGAAGCTGTGACGTTCGCCGCTCCAGCACGGGGAAGAAGTTCATCACCCTTCATTTACGGGTATCAGATGCGTAGCATAAGGAAATGCCGAACTCGCTCACGCTGCGCTAGTGAATGCTGATGACCAGATTCGCTTGCGGTCACTGTGGATTTTCTCCGTTTTCTGCTTAAAGAAGAGGGCCACGGCGGGATTATGCCCCGGGAAGAGGTATGAGTCGCTCTTTTCCATGTGCATGTGCGCGCTGTAGATAGTGTTCGCAGAGAGCGTGTTGATGGAGATAGTGTTTGGGCCTGGAAGATAGTAGCTTTCGCAAGGATGAATTATGCAGAAAATGATGGGACGCACCTATCCGGACGAATGGGCCGTACACGCGATGCAGTTCATCGAGGATGAGGTGGTGCTCGCCCTTGAATAAGACGTAAGTGAGATATAGGCTGGTAGCATGCCATAGTCGCGGTCCGGGATATGATGCCAGGGGATGCGAGGGCGACAAGCGGTACACCACTGCACTGAGCAAAGCGGAGGTCATATATAGGCACACAACAGAAGCGGTGTGCATCAGCGCCATGTCAGCGGATGCGACTCGCAAGTTGATTCCATAGAGAGACGCAAAAGCTATACATAGTGCTGCGACAGCATGGTCACCGCGGACGGAACAGCGGTTCAAAATCGCCCATGTTCCCTGTGCGCACTTGTGAGTGACACGTATAATCCGTAGGCTAGCAAAGTCGGTACGCACTACACCTGCGAAAGAAACCGCGAGCTTCACGTAAGAGCCAAGGGGGAATGCGGTTGGGAGACCCATTCGTATGATTCTGAAAATCCGACTGACTGAGTGTGAAGATGATGAGGGAGAGGTTGCTTTAGTAATTCGGTCACAACCTGGTGTCACGAGGGCGTCCAAAATTCAGTACATGCACTCAGAGTCCAGGATGCATAGATAAGACCGAAGCTGACAGTTCATCATGGACAAGGGCCTTTTCAATGATGCACGTCCCAGACATCCACATCAGGTCCTAGGCTCGTCTCATCAGAGTGGATGTTGAGGAGTTGAACGGGGATAAGACCTGATCATCAACGGACGCGAATGAGGGACGAAGACACTAATTCTTGCTCCTGTTCTTTGATCCGCCTATCACTGGGTTTTGAATTCTGAAACAGGGCTGCGCTACAACATCTTGATACAGGTGCCGACAACAGCGGCATAGGAATGACAGATGAGTATATGAGCATTAGAAGCCCAGAGAGACCGCGCATCCTGAAGGAGAAACTGTCTCGGAGAGGCATGTTGGATGTGGCACTAAGAGCATGTGCTCGCGCCAATTTCAAACAAACAAAAGCAAATATATACCGGTAAACCTTAAGTATCCAAGATGCCGTGACAGCCGGAGACAGCGGGTGGCGAAAAATCTACTACGTAGTAACAGATTCTTTAAATAAACAAACCCGAGGGAGATTAGAAAGTTTGATCGTGCTAAATTTGTACCGTCTCGTTCACATCGTCATCAAAGTCAATTGCATTTGGATACGTCGGCTAAGGGGTGCTGGAAATTTTGGTAGTACCATCTCCCGCAGTATCGCGACCCGGTCCTGCGGGTGTGGGATGCCTGAGAAAAGAAAAAGCGCCTCAATGTGTTCGCGGCGGCTTCTGTCCCGGAACCTGACATGAGAGGTCATCATGTCAACTGGGTAGCAGAAAAATGTGAGGGCCAGATTAAGCGAGCAGATAGGTACATTTGTCTGGTGTCAAAGCACGGCAGTGTCTACGACAAGCCCATAACGAAAAAAAAAATGATCACGCTCTATCTAATCTGCACCATCAACATATTAGTAAATACCAGGAATCATACGATACGGAACTCGCTCGCGGTACTCTAACCACTCCTTCCCAATGGCAGTCTCCAACAGCTTGTCCTCTACCATGCCTCGTTTGACGACCGACAGCATGGCGAACATGTAGAGTACATAACAGCCATGCACGAACCACTTGGCCGGCGTCAGCATCAGCCCACACTGGTCGATGTATCCACTCGGTGTGCGGAATGCGCAGTACGTTCCCAAAAAAAGAAGCCACACCCCGGTGTAGCTCGGGTGACGTACGTATTTATATGGTCCGGACGTGACGAGAGTGTGTCTTGGCTTGACAGTAACGAGGTAGGTGAACTGCGAGCCGAGTGCAGTGTAGCACCACAGGCGGAGGAATGACCCGAACATGATCATGGAGAAGCCGAAGAGGAATGCTGGGGAAAGTGAGGCGAGAGTCTCGAGGCGTGGCGCAGGGCTCGGGCAAAGGTAGGAAAGCACAAGCTGGTCATGAGGGTAATCCACAGATATGGAGAGCATGGCCACGACGTGAGCAATGCTGATCGACGCAACGGTGATCTGGAATGCGGAGTGAGCATGTCAGTGGAATATGCTATATCTGCATCATAATACATAACCTTCTCGAGGTCGATCAAGAACATCACGACACGTTCAAACAGCTGTCCTCTGTACACCTTGTCGCCTTTCGAGCTCGGAGGACAGGGCGGAGTCAAGCTAACATAGTGCGCAACTACTGCGATGATCAATAGCCCGGACTTGAGAACTGTTGTTGCGAGCATGGCGCAAGGACAACGGCGTATAGTGTAGGGCAGCTGCGGAGGTCCGTATGATAGATGGTGTTTTGCAGATGTATATTTCTAGAACTGCTCTAGCGGCATGTGTGAGCATCTTGGGCTATGCCGCATATTTGACACAAAGTTCTCGCCCACCGACAGCCCCGGATCCATTTGTGACACAAGGTAGTTCCGAGATCTGACGTATAACGGACTCGATGATCTGGATCCGTCGAACCACATATGTGGTGCTAGACACTCGATCACAGCCGCTTTCGTTCAGTGGTTGGGGTAGCCCCACTCGAAGATAAAGAGTGGTGCCCTACCAGTAGCCAAATGCATTGCTTAGACCTCCAGCAATAGAATCTCTAGTACAATCACATACTTATTATGTTTTTGCACGTAAGGGATACTGCGTGACAAAGAGCTCCATTTTCGGACCATGCTCGTTCTCGCTTGTTCTTCTGCAGCTTTCGTGAGGTCTGGCGAGGCGAAGAATCGCTCAGGCTGTGTACATTTCACGGACGATCACAGCGCTCATTCATCGATGAAAGTGCTGACATAAGATGTATGTGTGTGCATGTGCACGCGCGTACTTACTTAAAAAGTACTGCTTTGTTCACACTTGCAGCAACATTAATCAACGGAGATGAGCATCTGAGATGATATGTACCGACCACCCGGCAGCGCCACGAGGCCTATGGGTCTACGCCTCTCGCAAATGTTCCGTGTGAAGGCAGTCCGGCGGTACTTGAAGAATGCACCCCATGCTCGAGTGCTTACATATAGCGCCACGAATCTCCTACGTACAGCAGTGCATTTGAATCGGTGACAATGACATTTGGAATGACATTATCGCCTGAGTCTCAGGCTGTCGGGATCGCAACGTTTGCAGCAACAATATTCTATGCCTTCTGCGGCGTGTGTGGGCTCAGATACCGTTTGCCGCAATGCATGTTGACGGATGAACTCCGCAGCTATCATACAACCGATCCATAGATATTTGCAGGATCAGCCCTGAAGGTTGCAGCCTGACTTCCTTTCCCCGAAACTCCGTGTTTTGCTGTGAATGCATGATGGGCATTTTAGCGAAGGCTGCATGTGCACATCAATACAAATACTAGATACTACCCGCGAACGCCGAGCGCTCGTGTGACATAGTGTCCAGCTTATCTCTACCATCGCGGGGAGCACGCTAGTTCAATTGAGTTGCGGTCTCTGCCGTTGCATACTGATATCGTCTTGCAATGTCGTAATGTTCCGCTAGTTCACAGAATGATATTGAATTGAACGAGATGCATAGACGCGCACATGCAGCCTATTCGGAGAACAGCGAGGAAACAGATATGATTATATGGTGCAGCGAGGAGGACGTTTCCCAATCCTCGGTTAAGCCGGTCGCTGTAAATGTGGCTCATAATTCAATTTCAGTTCTCAGAGCGCTTAACTTCTCACCCATTAGTGACCGCCGCCGACATTAGTGCCTTGCCGCTCGTGCCTAAGAAGCATACCACGAAGCATGATGGGCGATGCGTGAAAATTTTCAACGTTCTGCAACGGACTGCCTCATCACCTACCAGTCTTCTTCCGCCATCTGATGATTCGGGAACTTCGGTCTTGAAATGAGCATCCTGAGTCCAGAACCAGTCCCCGTTGATCAATGATCGTGTCTGCCTGCAACCGCAGACTGGAAGACAGAAGATGGGCAGTAGCTCGCTCCTCCTCCCATGTTTCATGACAGGAATGCCTTGTCCGTTCGCGGGACATTGTGTGAGAAATGGAACGCAGATACTCGCTAGATTTCGCAATAGGCGCCAAGCACCGTGAAGGAACATATCATCTGTCACCAGAGCAATCATCAATATGGCACAACTAGCAAGTACATCTGGTCTACTCATACCTTACTCGGCCATCTAACCGACCTGATCAAGCAACAAACTACGAATGCACAATGCGCACGGGCCTACTTGACAGACCGATCGTTGAGCAGAGACAGATTCCACCACAACGCGAGTGTTGCCAACCTCACCATGCCAGGCGGCATAGATATGCACAATGTTGAAAGTCACTGTTCGCATAGATCATCAGGACGAGGCGAGATTTTGGATGAGCAAAGGGAACAATTCACACGCTTGTGGAATACGTACCATTCGCCTATCCGTTGCACCCCAGCCTGAGCTGGAATTGCAAATGCCAGCTAGCCTGCGATTGCTTGGCACTTCCCGATTCTCCGCCGCGCCACCATCCCATGTACCATTCTAAGCGTCCGCGGCTGATGCGTATAGCTGCAGGAACGGTAAGTGACGAGGACGCGATCAGTCTGGATGGTCTCGACGTTCATCGCAATAGGGTGCTCACTTCATCAGCGCGTGGTCGAACGGATGAAGATGAGATTATCCGCATTCGATCACGTCCTTCAAGCTCTTCGTAAACGCTCCGACCATGGCCGTCCTCGAGCCGATATTCACGAGATGCGCAATGAAAAATGGCATTTCTCGGGAGATCTTCGTCTGCAGGAGAGAGCATAGAGATAGCTCAATATGTGCGTCGATCCCAAGAGATAGGCTACGCATGAGGGTTACAAGTCAGAAAGATAACGTTTTGAATGGCTGCATACCAAGAGTTTGACACCTGTGAAGAGATTCGCACATCGAGAGTCTGACCATGGCCGCCTTTTATCGTGCAATTCGAGAGGTGTTCGTAGCATCGAGCTGGATCAATAGCTCCCACTGGCAGAGCGCGAAAATAGTCGATGGTCGCAGCTCGGAAGATGGACGACTTTCGCACAGCCAATCGAAGAGAACCCAGGACCTCCTGAACCACAAACATGCAAGAACGGCGGGTCGAGCAGAACTCAAAGGAAAGCAAATGAAGCAGGTCAGAGGAAAGGGTTCATGACGGTACTATGCCGTTGTCACGCAAACGTGACTCGCAGATCATGCATCATGGCTCTACGACGCTGGCGCGTTCTTGAATCACATCGACAACGACTCTGCGTATTTTCAGCTCGCAACTACCCAGCTTCAATGAGGATTGAGACAACTCCATAGCACAAGATGCGTTACTCCCCCAGTGCCAGGTGCTCAAGTGGGTCAAGACGGAGTCTGACAATCATCATAGTACCTACGACGTACCGTATGGTATCCTTGCACATAATCAGTAACAAATCGCATAATAGCCTGACATCGAAAATCCTCTATCTACAATGCACTCAGTTTCTCGTCAAAATCCAAACTCGTTGCGACATCTTCCCAGGCGTCCATGCTCTCGGTCAGCCGCTCGCAATATGCTCTAGCTGCCTCGTATGTGGGAGCTCCGAGGAGCAAGCGAGGAGGCAACGGTCTACCTTCTGCCTTGCCTTCCCCTCTTACAACATCAACGAGAAAATCCATCGCCTTTGCTGGGTCGCCTTTAGCCTGCGTGAAGCGTTCTTTCAGCTTCTCGTGCACGAGCTCGCGGACGCCGTCGTAATCCCCAACGTGGTGGTTCATAGAGTAGACTGCCTTGTTGTTCCCCTCTGTGCGGAACTCCCCTGGGGCAGCGAGTATCACTCGGATTCCGAAGGGAGCGAGCTCTGCGGCGAGAGTCTCACTGATCGCTGGGATCGTTCAATATTCAGCTACGCTCATGCCTGGGATTGATATATGAGAGCTCACAATGTATAGCTGCTTTGGAAGCAATGTAGAATCCAGCGGTCTGCTCGCCAATCATGTAGTCGATTGCTTCGAGGCTCGAGAAGCTCGCTTACCGGTACGTGTGCATGCCACACGGTCCGACTGCCAATGAACACGATAGTTCCGGCCTTGCGGCTGCGCATATGTGGCAGTACGGCATTCGTAACATCTAATGTCCCGAAGAAGTTGACCTGGAATTGCGCTAGGGCAGCCGCAGAGCTGTGGCGAGCAGAGTGAGTGGGATAGAACATAGGCTGCATCTATTGAAACGGCTCACCCTCCCTCTTCAACCATGCACTTAGAGACGTAACCAGCGTTGTTGACCAAGATGTCGATGCGACCCCATATGGCGATGGCTTTCTCGACCTTTGTTTTGAGACTTTCCTCGCCCTCGGTGACATCCAGTTCGATTACATGCAGTCGAGACTTGTCTGCATCAGGCAGAGAGAAGTCTGCGAGATGCCGTACTGTGGCGACCACATGATCTCCTCTGGCCAAGGCGGATATGACGAGATGCAGCCCGAGGCCTCCAGAGGTGCCTGCAAGCGTGGTGAGATCAATAATGAGCATATCCAGGGTGAATTACCGGTGATGAACCAAACGTTCTGCTTTGTGGGCATCTTCGCTGAGGAGTTCTGTAAAATGGAGAAGGATGAAGAATCGAATGACGGGGAAGGCGTCGTTGGGCGTCAAAGTCGATTTGCGCCATATATATATATCCCTTACTTGAAGTTACAACACAGTTATTCATACTGTTCATCATGCTATGCTCTATTTCTGGTGAACATTGACTCAGCGGCGATAGATGCCTCAAGCTGTCTTCCTTTAGGGCGGCCGCGAGGGTCTGGGAGCCATCAGCCTCCACCCTAAGGGACGTGATGTGACAAGCGCCCGCCGGCCTAATGTCCGATCAAACCACAACGCCATGGCAGATATGGACCATCCTTCGCCATCATTCTCCATCAGGAATGGAAGCACTGAATATGAGGGTACCGGATGGATGATGGTGCTGCGTGGGAAACGGAAGTCCTGATGGCAGGATCGAGCGATTATGATGGGCGCCAATTCGAACGGGCTCGGAGGAGTCAACCGCCGAGACTGCCTGCGATTGTCCCTGCCTGCCACCGCAACCGTCTCCAACACCTCGTGTCTGCATTCACTGGCCAAATTACAAGGCACCTGCTTTTTGGGTCAGAAAGATGCGCCCAACCCATCAGATCTCAGACTCCACCACCAGATGCATCATTCACGAGTTCTGATGTCGTGTCGGCAAGCTGGTGTTCCGAAACGGTAGTGCATATCAATCTATTGTTTACGATCCTAAAATCAACAAAGGGACTGGCAGATTGGAACAGCAGCGTCACGCTTGCTCCCATAATCCCAGATGCACTGCACCGCCCTTCATGGTAATACATAGCCTTCTTTTCTCAAGAGCCACATGCGTGAGTGCAGTTTATATCGATGAAGGTTGGTTGGGCGGTCGCAGGACGCCATCACTATCCCTCATTCAAATCTAGCATTTGCAATGGGAGAGATCGGTCTCATACCCTCACTCCTTGCGGCAGCCTGCCTGGAAACCTTTTTCTACGGCATCTTCTTCACTCTCGCCACGGTTTCTTTCTATCTCTTGTACCGACGACAGAAAGGTTTGGGAACATGGGAAGGCGGAGGGCGAAGCCAGTCGAACTCCAGACTTCGAAAGTCACTCAGATTCTTCTCGGTCGCCGTTGTACTTATCTTCCTCTCCAACACTGTCGTCAGTTCCTTTTTTTTAATGATGTATGCTGTGGTCTGACCGATAATGACTGATAGCAATGGGTGCTAGTTCTCGCGCGGCTGTTTGAAGCCTTCGTATACTACAAAGACGGCGATGCACCATTGGAATTTTACGCCGATCTGTCGAAGGCAACGGAAGTTGTGCGAACTGGCGCACTAATATTTACAGTCATAGCCAGTGATGCAATGATTGTTCGTTCACACCGTTTAATGTTCTTCAAAACGACTCACAGGCTGTGCATGCAGATATACCGCCTTTGGATCGTGTGGGAATTTAACAAACAAGTTGTCATATTTCCGCTCTGCACACTTGTTGGCTTAATCGGTGAGAGAAGCCATTCATGAGCTCATACACAAAAAACTAATGTCATAATAGTCTGCGGTGTCGGTACCGTGTACCAGATGACGACATTCCGTCTCGGCGAAGAAATCTGGGTCTCCGCTCTGGGTCGCTGGTTGACTGGTAATGCGGTGTTCACGCTTTGGTACGTGATATACATACTTGTTTCCAAGTGTTATACTGACGAGGTTCATGAATGGGACAGCATCAATGTGTATAGCACAAGTGAGTCACTAACTGTAGAGCGAGAATTTCTGCTAAGATTTATTCACGATGATCGCCTTCAGCTATGATCGCATGGCGCATTTGGAGAATAAATGCAGCTATCTTGGGCCATAGACACGGCAGTCTGATGGTATGCATACCGTCAGCCATTGTAGATAATCTCCTAATACTTCTACACATCTAGTCTGTCATGGCTATGATTATCGAAAGCGCTGCACTCTATACGTAAGGTCCACATTTCTATGGTGCTTTATATTCTGAATATATGTGTAGGCTATGGGCTACCTTCTTCCTGGCCACTTACGAGGCTGGAACCAACTTGCAATTCGTGGCCAACGAGACATTGGGTTTCGTCGCTGGCATAGCCTTCATGCTCATCAACGTACGCGTTGGCATGGGATGGGCTCAGAACGAAACGGTCACAATTTCAGAATTTGTAGCTGCTCCAGGCACATCAGCTATTGGTGATCAACCATTCATGATGAGGCCTTTGGCCGTCAATATCTCGTCCACTGTACACAACGATCACGAGTCTGATGATGTTCATGTCAAGTATTTTTCTGACAGATCTTCCACCCTCGTGTCGGGTGCTTGACAAAGCAATATTAGACATTGCCTTAGCTGTCTTTATCTGTCCATAGTCCTGTATATACCCATGTAGAAGGCGTTCCTCGCTCAACGTTATGATGAATGTATCATGCAACGGTGGGCATTGGATGACAAAGCAAGCTTGAATCGGCATTCTGTGAGTTCGTTTTGTGGCGTGGCCTCGTCGAGTTGCTCAGCACAAGGGGTCTCAGGACTGTCATCGAGATCTTGCTGGGAAGAGATTTCTTCAAGCCTGCTCAAACTCTCGTATCGGCATACGCTTTCTAGGGTGCCTCTTCGATTGGCGAATATCTTTTGTCTAGATTCGGTGAAAGTTCGTTCGCTATGCTGCTTAATGAAGGAGGTAAGGCAGCCTGCGCATGTTGACACTACAAGATGCGAGGACTCATCACTCGGGGAGGCGTGGTCTTGGAGCAGTGCGGTGGAATATTCGCATTCCCTGCCATAGCGGAAAAAGGCTACTTCGACATGCGCATCGAAGTCAATGCTCCCGGAGGGCACTCGAGCGTACCTCCAGCTCACACGGTAAGCTTGCATTCCTAGCTCGTATGACTGACATGCTTACGATAATGTCACCAGTCATTGCTATGCTGGCGGCGATGCTTGTTCGATATGAGAACAACCCCACGAGATCACTGTCCAAGCTCATCAGGAAAACTCAAATCCAACTTAGGACACTTTTATTCGCTTGCCGTCACCAAAAAAGACAATAAGCCCGAGAAAGTCTCAGGACCTTCTTGTTACGAACCTTTTTCTGGGCTGGAAGACTACTTATTATGCACTTATTCACTTGTACAAGCGACTACCGGCAAGAACAAGTCAAAAAGGAGGTTCTTGAGCCACAAGTCGATTCGAGTTTTCCTGATGTTCCGGAGAGTGTCACCGATGTATATCCACGCTCAATGCCTCGCCGCACACGGGTCTGCATTCCCTGCATCAATGCGCGAGGTGTTACAAAGATTGATGACGTCGGGCAAGGTGCTGTGTCGTGCAGAAGGAATGCTGTTCAAGATCCCTTCATTCAAGGCTCTCGTCAGTATGCCATAAGCTGTTGACATCGTCAATGGTAGAGTCGTATCAAGCGCACCGTCCGAAAATGCGATGGCGATCGTCAACCACCGGATATCCACCGACAGGTGAGAAGCTGCATTTAACAGGCGATATGACAAAGCTTCTCATCATCGGTGCTAGTGAGCGTTCAGTAGATGAAGCAAAGCAGCATGCCACTCAGCTTCTGAAAGACCTCGCCGCCCAGTTCGACCTCTCGAGGCCTTAAGAGCCTCCTTCGCCTTCTTCATCTTGGCCAACTCATCCCCAGCCTCTTCGCGCTCCGTTTCGGCCTCATCGCCGGCCACGCCCGCGAAATTGGCGATACGGCTCTCCAGGTACGGGGTCGTGAGCGGCTGCTCTCCGATCTCGACCTGAATGGACTCGAGGGACTTCTTGAACGCGGCATCGCCGAGAAGGATGACCTCACGACGGGGCGCGGATGACTTGTGTTCGAAGGTGTTGTTGTCGGTTCTTTTCGGCTTCAAGAGAACGTGACGAGCTGTGACGAGGAAGAGCCTCTTGCTGCCACCGCCTTCGGCCACAAAACAATCTGCCCGTACCCTCAGCCCAAGGTGTGAGCTTGCCAGAGATGGGGAGACCGAGCGTGTGAGTGAAAGGGTCTCGAACGTCTACGGTGGGGTCGGAGGAGACGGTGGGCGCGAGGAGCTTGGGACCTTCCAAGGCGGCCACGCAGGACGCGCGTATCTCGACGTCGACGTCGATGCCGCCGGACTGTACGAGAATCCCCTGGCAACTGCCGGCCGCTTTGGCGCCGTCCTCGAGGGAGAAAGATCCGCGCTGCATGCCAATCCAGAGGATGACGGGGCGGGAGTACTCTTCCACGTAGCCGATGCGAACTACATCGATGCTGGTCCAAGCCACCTGCTTCGAATCCAGGTGTTCAACGACCTCGAGAGACAAGCTGCCCTCCCAGACAGCTTTGATCGCACGCCTGCCGACGGTCCTGAGCACCTTAGGCTTGTTGTACGCCTCCGCGATGCCAGGCGCCTCCCATGGAGTGGTGCTGGAGCGGCCGACCAAGGGCGGGCCAGAGGACGGGCCAGCGTAGTAGAACTCAGCCTCGTTGGACAGATGCGTCCGCTGCGAAGAAGCGCTCTCCGACGAAGAGACCATGGTGGAGGCACTATCGAGGCTGAGACTCGAGAATTCGGTGATAGGAGGGGAGGCGGGAGTCTCGCCCTTGGCCAAAGTAGCATCGATGCATATGGTGAGGAAAGAGTCGGAGTTCACTGGAAGAAGAGAGAACTGCTGGCGCCCATGAAATATGGGCGCTTGGCGATGACGGCGGGGGGTCGGTGGAATGATGGTCAATGATGAGCTGAGCAGTGTGAATGCGACCTCTTTGACTTGTCTTACACTGTTCTACGTTCTCGATCTGCTGTAACACGTCAAGCGTCATTTTAGAACAGAAAATAGCTCTAGAACGTGCCTCAGACTGACTCAATTCCTTGACCGGCTGCCCTTTGTGATAAAAGTCAAGGATCATAGGCGACTTGGCTAAAGAAAGCTTTGGCAGAATGCAATTCTTCACATATTTTCCCGCGATTTCGAACAATTGAGCGTCGATCATGGCCGAAACAGGGTTCCTGGTCCGCAATGCCTTCGTGAACCGAGATAGGGCAGTCTTGCCAAATTTGAATTCTTCTGTCCACTGCATGTGCTCCTCTCTCCAAATTCAAGTTTTCTTAAGCACCAATTCTTCACCAAGTCTCCGGCATTCGATGAGGGCTCGAGCATCGGAACCGGCGGCATCATTATCGCTCTCGATCGTGATTTTCTCCATGCTTGAAGGCGAACTTCAAGCGCCTCACACTTATCATCCTGTGAAATCGATGCATAGAAGACATCAGAGCGCATAGAATCAGCCAATGAACCTGTCAGGCGAGACGCAATGCTATCATTACTTACTCCTACGAGGACGTTCACCACAAGCATCTTGTCGTCCACATTTAGCCTATCACACTGCATGGCTTGCTTACACGCATACACTTAGTTGACCACGAAGGGCTGCGGGCCGGGACCAAAGTCCAGTGAGACACAATACATCCACATGAGCAGCATGTCGGCTTACAATGCAAGGTTCGCCGCGGAAACGATATCCATGATCTTCCTGGATGTCTCCTCCCACTCCGTAGAGGGTACGTACGTGAGCAGCTCAGCTACTTTCTGGCCAGCATCGGCGGTCTCAGGTAGCTGCGGAGAGACGAAGACGGAACAGATGAATGCAGAGCGCTTGGCGCGACTGGAGCCTGCTTGTTTCGTGGAAGGAAAGATGCGAGCAAAGATGTTCAACAGACTCTCTGTTGGCAGGAAGTCTAGAACATCAATTCCAGCATGTCATGTCGTTGTTCAAACCAGGGCACTACCTTTGGCCCTCCAGAATGCATTTCACTGATATGTTGAACACGGCAAGCTTCCTGCCAGCAGGCTCCTTGTACATTCACGCCATCGGTCGATGAGAATAGATAGCGGACCTTGTGTCGAGTAGATCGAGCGCCGCCTGGAGCGAATTGAGGATGAGCATCCTTCGGCCGTAGATACGAAATTACACAAAAAGGCCTGTCCGACTCGCGTGAGTGGAGTCGATGATCAGAGCTTCGAGGATGCGTACCGTGCTCTTTCGCCCATTTTTCGTAGGTCAACCAAGGTTCAGAGGCTGGAAGCTGATGCACGTTCCCGGCCCAAAGTGTAGGTTTGAGGCCGGGAGGGAGCGGGAGACGTGGAGACGAGAATCTGTAGATGATTATGACAACGGGTAGGAGCAGTAGCGATGCAACTGCCTCTGAAGGCTGATACATGGTGTAACCTCCGGGATGAGAAAAGTATACGCCAACTGTTGCATGTGCATGCGGAGTGACTTGGCAGTGCACCGAGATGCGAGATGGATGGTGCAGTTCGGCAAAGGCTACCGCATCAGCTTCTCGATTGATCAATTAACGATGTTGGTACAAGCACGGTATCATCCTCGGGCGCTCGAACCGAAGGTCATCAATTTAACTTCGTGCCGTATCGGGAGGATTCGAAGTCCGAACGAAGCATCAAATGAGTCTAAGATGCAAACATTGCAAAGGCACAATTCAGACCCGGAGGGAGAGCACCGCACCTATGCCATCAATGTTCTGCTCGACCGATGCATAATATGCAGGATGCTGTGTCGCATCTCATATCCACCACCGCACACGGTGCGGTGGGTGTCTGGGACAAGTTCTTTTGAGCGCGCGCTAAGCGCGCATATGTGACGCTTCGTGCGCCTTGGGTAACTTACTTTCCAAATTCCAATGCAGGCTCGCGCCAACTTGTTGGTGGCTTGAACGCCGTCGAAAATACGGATGTCGATCTCTCTCTATGCATAATGCATTGTGCAAGGCTTCAACTCATTGATAGAACAACATTCCAGCTGTGGTGATAGATGGCATCATGGCGCCGAAATGAAGCATACAAGAGGTACGGCCGGCTTGGATTGAACATTAACTGCATGTGTGCCGTTGAATCTAAACTTCGAGCGACAGGATCTCCGAAACTCACCTGAGTAATACTTGCTCGAATGGCGTTTGACGGGCCGTGGGCCCAATGAGATTCAGTCCCCACGAACATGACGGGAATCTCCCCAGTTGCTTCGGAGAACAACGCGATGTTTGGAGAAGAGGTTGTCGATGGATAAAGTGAGCCTGCTGCGTAGACTCCGGAAGCTGCATCGCGAGGGAACGCTAATGCCGATATAATGCCTGAGGAACCTCAACCTTGAGGTTTTGCCATAAATTGAATGTGAACTGCCCTTTGAGGCGATCACGGCTTTTCTTCGATGGACTGGTGTGCAGGCGAGTTCCCTCTCCGGGGATTGGACGTCAAATATCTCTATAGCATCCTTGAATCCACAATAGAGCCTACATGCAACCAGTTTGTAATCAACAGACACGATTCCAAAACGTTGAGCGCGAACATACTTGTCAATTGACATGTTGAATGCGAGACTATGCGGAACAATGAATTGTTCACGATGGTCGATGATCTTATAAGATGCTCGTAACTGGACGTTGCGTGGAGTCAGTTGTTAGCTAACCAAGGAAGAGGCTTTGACGGAGTCATCAAGAAGAAGCGGAGATGTATGAACTGACCCGGCCATCACTGCCATCCAGAAGCTTGACAGAACATTTTCGTACTGAGGCGATGAAGCAAGAAAAAGCAGGATCGCGCAAAGTAGCTGTAGGGAACCACTCGAAATCTAATATTGGGAATGGTTGTTGGATGACCCGTTCAAATTGATTGGGTGTACCGTCATGAGGCCTGCTCAGAATATTATAAGTGCATCTGTCATTCCGATGTAGGATATTTATTTACAGACAGACATGTTATAATGATTGATTTTCGCATTGAGCTAATGCAGCGGTACCGTCTGAACACCTGATAACCGAACCATTCACATCGTGAGATCTCGTTTCGCTCGTGTTCTGCCCAGACGAACCATTTAGCTGCGCGAGCAAAGTTCGAGGGATCGCTTTCACTCGGTAACAAATGAGTCGTCCAAATCGAATCAGGCCTGTTAGAGTACTGGCGGAGTCCAGACGTTGCTCATTTGTGTCGTTGACACCTGGCTAGTGACGTTCAGACAAACCATGCCTTATTGTAATCATGAATTCGTAGAACAATAGGTGGTCTGATGCGTTTTTGGAGATATTTTTAATGAGCGCTACGATCTGCGCAGACGACAGTGTGACCGACCCACAGCGACACTCTACGTCTCGACACGGGTGTCCTTGGAAACCGACAATACTTCCCGCAGAATAGACTGCCACAGGCCTGGTGGCGGCTGTTGTCGCCAATGGGGACTGGAGCGGTTAAGATAGATAGTTGATAGATAGTTATCCCAGCGAGTGACGAGTGAAATTGGCGCCACCGCTACCTGTGAATGTCACTGAAGCGCTGACGTGACGCTTTTTGTGCGTCGAAAAGCCCTTTTCATGCAGCCTTGAAAGTCCAACTTTGTTGGAGGTACTCAGGGCGTCGACTCAGCGATCATTCAACGCGCTGCCTCCGGAAAACCATCACTTTGCAGTGCTTGTCCTCGGGCGCGATGCGCAACATCCATCTTTATAGATGTAGGTGCTTATAACGTACAGTATAGCATGGCTCTCGATGGACTGGAGCGTGACATCCGGTAAATATCAAGATCCTCATCGAGGCCCTGGCCACCCAAGCGTAAAGAGACGGAGTAGCGAAATCTGCTCCGCCAAAAATATGCCACTGTGTTTGCTGCCTGACCGTTGAACGCTTGAACGTTGAACTGCTATGTTCTCAACCGAGATGGCATAATGCGTTTGGTTCGCGACCCCTGGGATCTTCTGGATGGCAATGGGCATTGCGGGTCTTTCTTCTTTATATCCGTCCTGCAGCGCAGTTTCATGCTTGATAACCATTGAACACATTGCGCAGCGTTACCCAGTCTTCTTCCGCTGACGTTTCGACCGGCGCATCCTCGTGTTGCTACTCATATCTCGAGCGACGGCATTAGGTGCGAAAAAATGTTATGTGCTGCGTCTGACCGCCTGGCTGACCAGCGTAGTCATTTCGCTTTCGGAAAGAACGATGGCACCAGGTACTTTTCACGCCTATTTGCTTCGTTGTTGCAATGCTCTGATGGCGAAGTTTTGAGATGGTGAGTGTCGAGGAATTCTCGATACGATGAAAATGTGTGCCAGCTTAGACTATACCATCGCTGTCAAAGGCGCGAGCGTGAACATTGCCTGCCTCAAAGTCTTTTTAAACGCAGGAGATGCGCTGACTATGTCTGAGCGCATAAAGTGAACTCCCTGGTTCGTCGTTTAATACTGTATTGGATGGTTGTCAATCAACATTTGAGAGTAATTACATTCGACGTACGCAAGCACGCATGTCGCGATCAAAGCAACGACCATCCACAATCAAATCGGACGCCCTCAGATCCGTACAAGCCCGTCCCTTTGAAGGTGGTAACAAGGTATGGTGCCGAACGAGCGATGTCACGTCTTCCGACAGTCGTGCTCATCTTTGATTAGTGGAAGAATCTGAAGATCGTCTGCCTCAGTGCGGCTGGCTACGGGGGTGAGAACGGCACGGGGCCTGCCCTCATGCATAGGCGCCCGCACCGCATACAATCCTCGACGGTCCTCATAACTGTTCCAGCTTGATACTTTCGCAATGCGGTCTCACAGCCAACGTCGTTCCCTTGCAATCATCGCGACACGCTTCCAGACGATGGATGCTGGGATGTTCGACTCATCTATTTCGAAACTTATAACTCGCTCAGCTCTTTCTCGACTGGTCCAGTGGCGCCCGGTTTCATAAAAGCTATGAAGGAAACTCCCCGAGATCGCTGTCCAGCATCGATGATGATACGTTAATTGCCGTCTTCAGTTTCCTGCCGGTGCAATCAGTGCTCGCGATGAGACAGGTATGTTTAAAAGAGGATCTAAAGCGGCGCTGGGAAGTAACAGAGCAACAGACTTCCAAACGCATGATGGCGACCTCACACACCCATGCAATTTGGCACAGCGCATATGTCCGTGAAGTGCTTATTGCTGGCCTTGCCCTTCCCCCATCGCGAGCTTGCAGTGACGGATGCTTCTGAATTGGAACACTGCGTCTGCCGGGCGATACGAATTGGTCGATTCTGGCTCGATCTCCCCCGCACAGTCGCGTGACATAACTGACTTCCAAGCAAGCTCTGGCACGGGAGTGTCGAAAATCTTCTTCCTGCCCGGATACGGAGGCAGACGTATCGCGACCATCACCAAGGGATTTTAGTCGGTCATAGCATGCTGGGAGGTGTCCGTGGACAAGAGCCCTCCGCAATCCGCCATCGTTCGCAAAGTGGTGGAATGGTGCCCAAAGGGCATGATCTTTACTGGGTTTGTTGTCAACACTGATGCTCATGCTGACGCCGTCGCGGCCACATCTGTCACCAATGGAAGGTCCGTCCGTTATAGCTCAGATGTTGCTTGTGATCTGGCTCCTCATTCGAACGACCAGCGAACAACGCATTGAGATCCTCCGCATTTCCGACGACGGAGCGGACGATGGGCCTGCTACGTTCAAATGTGTACGGACGATACGTACATCTTTCCGGCCTATTGCACTCGAAGGGGACATGATCACGTATAGCGATGATTCCACCGAGATAAGGATTATGGATCTAAAGAGTGGTGCTCTTGCGATTCTTCGCTCGGCGGAAGAACCAGTCGATCAGCGATTTCAGGTCAGTTTCCATCTCACTTAACCGAGGATTGTTTGCTGAAACCCCATCTACTGTCGGTCAACGTGCAGTACGACAGATGTTTACAGGTCGTTTTTGCTTATCGGAGCATCCTGGTCGTTCGCGCTCGTTCTGTTGAGCTTTTCGAGATGCCGGTCCTGCGTTCGACCTCCGAACCATTTTCGTATCATCCTCTGGCGAACCACTCATTCGGCTGGATAGATAATGTTTCTGTCAAAGTGCAAGCTTGCCCTTCTGATGTCGACTCCGGTCCGATCGAGCCATTATCTATGTTGTTGAGAGCGGAAAGCGACGATCCCTAGACATCAAATGCCCATACCTTGGATTTATACACTCTGGAGCCCAACCCGCAATGCACAGGAGATCTGCGCATTCTCCCCATGGATGGTGCACCGGACCCTACTGCACCTTCGCTGTCGATAGATAGGATTTTAGACCGCTCGCCTTATCTGTTCCCACCGGCGCATTCGAAGCTTTCATCGCCGTCCGTTAGCGGCATCTTGCGCTGTACGGACATCATCCTGGGTCCATATGGGACGGCCGTTTGGATTCAGCCACACCCTGCACACAGCGCCGATCTCACCACATTAGACGTTCACGCGTCCGAGACACATGCTCCAAATGCCGCGATGAAAGCAACGGAGACACTAGTTGGGGCAGTTTTGCAGGTCTGCTGCAGCGGGCTCATCTAGATCTTGATCTCCGGGTGAGCACACTATGGGCGCAGTTACCTGGAGCTAGCCATTGGACGTCTTTGGATTATGTCGAAGAGTTGGGGCTTGTTGCCATAGGCTCGTCCGATGGAAGGGTGGTTGTGCTGGAGCTAGGTTTGTAAAGATGTGTCTTGAATGAACTCGATTAAAATATATTGAGGCAATTAGTCGGGGGATCACCTCCGAGCGCTTGTTGCGACAAACGCTGGATGACGATTGGGCTGCTTACGTACCAAGATCTCTCGGCAATAAGCGAATCGTCAACCTCGGTGCAGTTCTGCTTTCATGAGTCTTTCGTCATTTTTGTCCCCTTTCATCCCCCGTCGCGCACGCCGACGCGCCGGAGGAAAAGGTGCCCGAAGAGGAAGAGGCAGTCGAGGAAAAGGCGGAGGAGGAGGAGGAGCCCGAGGATGTACGTTTTCTTTTTAATTTCGCCCCGTGCAACTCTATGATGGTGGAGAATGATTTAGATCATGCCTGCGCTTCGTGAGGAGTGTGAAAACAGCGCGAGATGCCTGGAAGCCACGAAGCACTTTCAGCAATGCGAGGGGAGGGCCAACTCGGGCAAGGGCTTCGATCATGAGGATTGCATCGAGGAATTGTACGTTACCGAACAATATAGTTGGTTTTCTCGACCTGACATGTCACCCGTTCAGCTGTACATTTTGCACACCACGATCTCGTTTGTGTGCCGACATGTCCTGCATCACCGCGTGTGGTATTTATTAGATCAGTAAGCCGTATTATTTTGCGTGTCACGACACTTCTAATGTCTCGTTTTCCTCAGCATGATGCACTGCGTAGATGTATGCATCGCAATCCTCCATACCCCTAAGCTCTTTTTGACTGACACCTGGTAAGGACTGCGTCGCGCCGAAGCTTTTCGCCAAGTTCAAGTGATCGTCGTCCGCTCGTTAGAGGTACTAGAATGTTGCTTCTATTTGAGACTACCATGGAGCCGTCACAAGGAGGCGCGTCACTCTGGGCTCGATATAGGCTCTCGAAGCGCTGTTCCTGATATAAGATGGAGATGGGCAGTCACCCTCGTGCGCCTGGTCTCGTCCTTAGGTGACAGCGAAATAGCTAGGCTTCTTTGCGCTAAGTTCTGGTTGTGTTCGCAGTCCGCGTTCGAGCGCATATCACCGCTTGTCGAGCGTATCGTGATATCCAGGCGAGAGCAACGAGCCGTGCGCAGGGTGTGTACCAAGCTAAGGTCTCTCGATGACTCACACAATCAGGACGCAGCTTGTGAGAGCGGTCAACTGACGCATGCTGCATACTGGCACACGCAGGCGCGAAGCAACGCCCAATAACCATAGCCGCTATCCACGCACCGCCCGCCGCACCCCTTCAGCTGCGCCTAGCGAGACGAGCACCCTGCATAAAACGGTGCGACTTTGTTTCAAACGACGCGCGCGCAACGCGGATCGCCCGTCGCTCACGCGGGTCTCATTATGTGATTCCTCCTTGAGAGCACGCCCTTCTACAGAATGTCGCCATTATATGGGGGTTATCGTGCAAGACTCTCGACACCAGAGCAAGACGCGTCGATGCGCCGTCAAACCAATATATGTGTGCCCTCTGCTCGAGCGCCAGTTATTGCGCGTTTCTTTGCGAACGAGTTACTCCTCAGGCCATTGCGCGCATTGAACCTGACAACGCAATATTGTCTGAATAGGCGATGCCATTCAGCCATACCCCACGGGAATCGTACATGGCCATAAACGAGTTCACGTAGACTGCGACAGCCGACGATGAATGTCAGTCGATGCATGCGTGAGCTTTGTCGGTGGGAGGGGCACTCACGGTGCGCGGCGATAAAATTGATGCTTATCGCCGCGAACACATGCGGGAGCACTGCCAACTAACGATCCAGTCACACTGCGATTCCGGATCACAAGTATGTGCATGAGCGCTCACCATTGTCGTCGCCGTCAACGAGCATAGCCTGTACACATCCATGATAAGCCGATGTGAAGCACGCCCCGCATCCCTGTAGGACCTTACATAGTGAGGATGCCGGTGTTCACCGTGAACAGCATCAGCACCGAAATCGTCGAGTCCATCCTGCATAATCACAAATGCACAATAGCAGTGAGCAGAACTTGGCAATCTCGACGAATCGGAAGACGCGCACTTCGAATAGCCCGTGCGGCAGCGCCGCAGGAGGTAGCAGAGTGCGGACGCGATGATCGCGTCGACGCACGTCACCCAGGCGATGGGGGAAATACGTCACATACTAGACATACAGTCAAGCGATGGCAGAGAACGATAAAGATGGACGCTCACCCTCGCGGCGAGGAAGTCGGTGTATTTGTGGAAGCGGACGCTGCGGGCGCGTGAGCGACAGACGGTGGTGGGATATGGAAGTGCGCCTACATCTCATAGCAGACTTCTGTGCAGTTGCGGTCAGACGTCAGGGAAAAGCGCGATGGCAGAAATGCCCTCACCAACCAGTACGCCTGGTCACAGCAGAGCGAACAATCACCATGGTCAAGATGTGCGCTTCACCTCGACATCGACCGCGAGTACATACCGTAGCCTAGAATGGCGATGACGGCCTGAAGCACGTCTCAGTGACGTGCAGGCTGGATCAAACATGAGACACGTACGACTGTGATGCGGAGGAACTTGCAACAGAGCTATATGTTTTGGTTCTGCAGTCCGCGGGGTGCAGCATGAGTGGCGTCGGGCCAGGGGCGCCTTATGTGCGTGACTCTGGGAGAGCACATGTATCGGCAGGGAGCGTTTCGTGAGCGACAGCGTAGACACGATATGTCTTTGATGCAATTCGAGATCCGGGATAGCTGCTTGATGGATGGCCATTTCGAGACACTCCGCTGCATACAGCGCCGCGCCTGTCAATCTGTGCATTGATAATGTGCTCACATTCACTGCTCCTTCGCAGCCTACGAATGGATCCTCTGGTGATGCGGATATCGTCTACCACAAATCGTACCGACAGTCTTGCCATTTTCTTGTCGCATCAGCAGCCTATAACAGTCTGAATATAGTCAGCTGTCGGTGCAAAATGATGTTTCACAGAGACTTGTAGACGTGCGGACTTAGTGTACCAGCAAAGTCTCAGAACTCGGAAGATGTCAACACAGGAAGCCAGCAACATGCATATCACGGTGTATTCACGCCGCCACAGAACTCAAATAGCTGGTGTTGAATATGTAGAAATCGCCTAAAGTGTGGGATGCACAGCAGCATACAGGTAACAGAGTAAATGGGAGCTGGACAACCGCCGGCGGCGCCCCCGGCCCGTTAACGAGATACTGTCCGAGACATTTGGCTGGTAGACGATTAGTAGTACGTTCATCGAATGCATAGTTCTTGCGAATGCGTACGTGCTTACAGTCATCTTCTGCTCACTGTCGCGGGCTCCCGAAGACATTGCAGAGCAGCTTTGATCGCGAACATCGGCGGCGAGATGGATGTACATTGATGATCCGAGCGAGTATGAGGAAACCAATAGCGTACGTTCCCCAAACTGCGCAAATTCAGAGGTGATGACTATCAGCGAGCAGATGAAAGTGCGCCAGGATCATACAGATACTTCTCAGGCTAACATATGATTAATGGCTTAGATTTATATTTTGCGAAGGGTTCCCACAGTGATGGTACTGCCTGTCACTTGTGTCTGTACCGTACTGCAGCTGCGCGTGTGCTCGATATTCTCCATCTCAGAAATGTAGTATTCCGTTCAGCGAGCGCCAAGGATTCACACGTTGCTGTCGACATCTTGAAACCCGCGGCTTACCCGCAAGGACTTTCCCTGATCGTATCCATACCTATTAGCTCTGCACTGAGCAACCGATTTCCTGGCTTGGAGGTCCGAGGGGCATCTCAGGTTCTACAAGGAGAAAAAGTGCAGGCACCTCATAGATCCATCTCACCACGATTCTAAACCAATGCCAGACTCCTGAAAATGCTCTCGAGACGTTTGAACACTGAACGAGGTACGAGAAATATAGGTAGACCATAGATAGCCGTGGTGGACTCCATCTTTACAAGGATACTGCACAGAAACGCTGGCATGCCGCACCTCGGCGTAGGATGACGACAGCCTCCAATGTTACGGTCGAATGTGTACACCCTCCTGTTGGATTTGTAATCAGTAATGCATGTAGCTGAACTGTAAGGCAGGAAGAATTCTTACCTATATCCATCAATCTGCGTCAAATGTGTGATGAGCTTTGCGATAGGAAAGAAGCCTTTGCAACGATGCCTGCCGAGCATGGAACGTGGCGTTTGGAGACGTTGGCGGTGGAGTCTCCAAACGTTTCCAACGAACGCACATAGTCGTTCCAGGCAGTATCCGAGATCAAGGGCGCTGAAACGTAAGACTCAACATCCATCTTCTCAAGGTACTCCTCCAGTCGTTCGTAGACAGCGTCGATTGCTGAGCTTTCCATTTCTTTCTGCGCTGTTCTCTTAATCCCGAGCTCTTCAAGGTACCATGCGGGGTCCAATTTAATGCAGGTGGCAACGTAGAGATCAACTAGACAAGCATCGACTCCCGCCGCGACAGCAGCGTCATATGCGATTCGATGACCGATAGCCTGGACGAGAGGGACAGAATCAGGAAGAACCAGACGGTCGTAGGCGACGCTGCGATGATTTTTGATTTCATGCAAGTGTTCTCGGAGCTCTGCGAACATGCCGGCTTCATGCTTGTACAAGAGGCTGTTTTCGTCGGAAGTGTGTGGGATCTCGTAGCGCCCAAGCAGCAGTTCCGTCGCTAGACCTGAATTGTGACAGTCAGCCGTTTGACCAACGTTCCATCCATGTACAGTGACTATGCTCACGGACTGAGATACCCAAAAGGTCACCCTCAGCGATAGCTGTACCTCGCATGTCCGCCTGTAGTATTGCAAAGATCAGTGACTAATACAGTCAATGATGGAATACAAACCGTCACGTACGTGCATAGCATTCAGCTGATTCACCTCGAAAAGCCCTTGTGCACCGCATCGCTCACTCAAAGTAAGATGAGCCTCCTGTGCGTGTTGAATCATGACGACCTTCATGATCGATGCAATTGCGTGCCGAACACGATAATCTAATGATGGATCGAGGAATAAGCTGACCGCCTTATCGTGCATTGCCTTCATGACAAATGCTCTAGCAACCGCAGTCACGATGGGGGCTTTTTGCGTCCAAAACTCGATGATTGGTTTGCGTTCTCCGGCACTGTTGACAATGGTACGCCGTTGGCTGTAACGAGCTGCGATAAACGATGACATCTGCAGGGCAGGGATGCCAAGTGAACCAATTGCAATTGTGCCGACCGCCACCCTGGATATGTTGTGGAAGAAGGCAGCCCGCGGATCTTCCGGTTTATCCAAGCTTCCGAGCAGTGCAGAACGGGGAAGGCGGACATAGTGGAAGTACGTGAGGGAATGATTCACCGGACGTGACCCTCCACGCTGAGGAAGGAGCCTAAGCTTGATTAGTTGAGAGCATAGATGCAGATTCGAAGAACGTACTTGCATACGACCCCAGGCGCCATGTTGAATCCGTCATGGAGGCGCA